AGATAATTTAAAAGTAAATAAAACATATAGGTGTATAATTCTACAACGAGGCCAATTATTTTTGTCATGGCTTGTTGGGATGTCATTCTTTCAATGTTTTATTATTGTGGGCTGAGCCAAAAATAAATAAATAAAATAAAATAAAATTTAGCTGCTAATGAGGATGAACCGATGAAGAGGACACTTTATCTACTAAGACTACTTTGTTTCAACTCTTCACAAACCTTAATTAAATTAATAAGAATTTAGGTCACATGTTTATCAAATATTTTTATTAATTCTCGTTCATCAAAATCTTAATGAGTACACAATTTTTATACATGAACCGCACCAAAACTCGAACAAAAAATAGCATGGAACCACCTCAATTCGACATCGGTAATTCAACCCTTAAAATAAAGCAATTGTTATTCCCCCCACCCCCACCCCCACCCCCCGCTTATGCTATGCTTGATTAGGCATTGAATCATAAGTTTGATACTGGAAGATAAGCAAATTATATTCACATTTTACTTACATGCCACCACAAAACCTGATGAAGCAACGTTCAGTAATTAGCTGCAACAATTCAGAAAACTCAATTGTTTGTACTGTCCATATTAAATGAAAAGGACCTCTTCATTGAAATCGACATTTTTTGAATGGAACATCCATATGAACGGCTCTTTATTAGCCTGTAGATGCTTGAGTTCCCTTTTCCTATATTTGCAATTGCATCAGAATTTTGTTCCTCTCTTTTTACACGAACTTCACCAGCATTGCAGATCATCGAAGTAGATGAAAAATCCATAGAAATCGATCTCCTTTCTGTTTGTTGTGACGCCCCATCCACTTTTGCATGATGATCAGCCAAATCACTTAGCACTCGATTCTTACCCCTCCTAGCATCGAGACCAACACAATTTTTCCCCAACATTTCAACTGATACTACGCCAATATTTTCAGCCCCAATTCTCGATTCACCAGTTAAATCGGTTACCACTTCACGTTCTTCCAATCGACTATTTGTTTGTTCTTCCTCTCGTGAACCCAAATTACTCGAATTCAAGTCCACTGCAGTCGCCTGATCTGCAGTGTTCGTATTGCTGACTATCGGAGCACGACAAAGGGGACAATGTTTGTTCGACCTTAACCAGGTATCGATACACGGGACATGAAAAGCATGGCTACACTTAGGCAACAGCCTAAGACTCTCATTTTCTTGAAATCTACTTAAGCAAACAGAACAATCAGTCCCTTCTATCAAACCTTCACCACTTTTGTACTTAAAAATCGCTATAGATTCGATTATCGACCGATTTAGGCCTACCGTACGTATGTACCATATAGGATGATCCACCACAGGCCCTTGATTTTCATCGATAAAATCCTCTGTGGCACTATTCTCCAATGGTCTGGAATTCCTCAACCTTGACCGGTACTTCTTTATAGAAAGATAAGAAATAACCATAAAAGCAGCACCAAGAACACAGGTGAGGATCAAAATGGTTGAAAGTCGATGATTCTGGCTAGCCGGAGGCGGAGGAGGCGGCAACAAAGGCGGCGGCGGTGGTGAAATGTAGTTTTCATTGCATTGAACAGGGCAATCATAACAAGTGTCACAACTTGCAAATTTCTTTTCATCCTCAGGCTTTTTATCTACTAACAAAAATTTTCTATGATGAAAAGCCATCAAGAAATGCTTTGGATTCAAGACAAAGGAGAGGATCAAATTAGGGATTTAATGTTCATGCGTGATTTTTGTTCCACATTGACTTTGGAAAGTTTACTTGAAATTTCAATTTTAATTTAGTATGTCAAAAGATGACTGACTTATAAAGTTAGTGGTTGGGTATTTGGCGTTTGCTAGTGACATCCAATTCACATTCACTTATTTAATATTTATTTAATATATAATATCTATATTTCCTTTTCAAGATTGTTTTTTTCAAATATCAAAACCAATTTGATCACAAACTAGAAAACTTTAAAATTTACACGCTACGTCCTATTTTTCCAACTTTCTTAAAAGGAAAAATGAATTTTCACTTAGGGTCCGTTTGATTGCAAAGATGAAATTGAATTGTTTAAAAAATGAATTCCAAGGAATTGAATTGCCTAGAATTGTTTTCTTGGGAATTGTAAACTATTGTGTTTGATTGGTATAATTTTTCAAGTGAAAAATGTTGAAATAAAAGTGTTTTTTATGTTCGTTTGGCTTTGTTTTACATGAAAATTGTCAATTAAAAAAAATATTTTTTTACAATAATTCTTAAAATTGATTTCCATTACCAACAAAAAAAAAAGCGTAAAAAAAAAAAAAGTTGCTACAGTAGGGTGGAATTTGAATTCTCATGAGAATTCAAATTCCACCAAAACAAGGAAAATTCCAAGTTTTAAGAAATCCAAGAAATGCAATTCCATGGAATATATAAGGTATCAAACATCAAAAGTTGGAATTTCCAATTCCATCTTTTTTTCCATTTCCATGCTATCAAACACTCCCTTAAACTTATCAAAGAGTGTCAAATCGACAACAAGCTTGAGGATTTCCCAATTCACATGGAATCGTGGATAAAAGATAGTCCATTAGGTAGTTATTACCAAAGTTAGACGACATGTGATATTGGATTAATGAACCTTATACTAAACAAAATGTTTTATATGTGTTGAAATAGATATGATTGGATGATAATTGAAGCTATTTGACTATATGGTTCTTTTCTTTTTTAAATATGTTCAGTTTTATACATGAAATATTTTGAGAATTTTCTCAATTCTCATTTATTATTATTTAGCATTGGTTGTGAATTAGTGAGTTATAGATTTTTATTTTAAATTTGTAAATATTATTTAGTATTACATGTTCTTTGTCATATTCATTGTTCAAGTTAATTTTTTGCTTCATCGCCCAATAGTATAATTAATTATGCCATTAAAATTGATAAACGCGACATATTGGTATTGTTACCTAACATACATTGATCTAAAATTAAACGTGATAGTGTAATTCGCTCAACTTTTATTTCTTGTCGATCCTAAGTCTAAAATAATTAACTTTTTTATATTGAAAATTTACTAACCAACCCTCTTGACTTAGCAACTTGAGTTTTAAGTCAATGGCCTAGTAGTAGATGGTGTATATTCATCTAAGTGAAATATTGGGGGCAAAAGATACGGGTATGTAATACAATTGGCGTGTTGGTCAACAAATTGTTTTTAAAAAAACATAATAATATTTTTAAAATATATAAAAGACCGCTCGAGTTATTTAAAAGTCGTTCATATGAAAAGTTTGAATTTTGGTGTAACCTAGGTTAATAAAAACTCATGGTGGGTTTGGACAGCTCCAATGTAATTTATGAAATAGTTAATTTAGCTATTGGAAAGTGAAAAAAAATATATATAAATAAATAAAATAAAGAGGATCAGTGTTAACTCAAAAAATCATTGCCGAAGAAATAAATATCCAATTACGAATTAAGGGCGTATTTGTCACCCATTATTTGGGAAGAATGTATTATGAAATAGTGATTAATGTTGAAATGTATTGTTAAAAAAGAAGAAAAAGTTTTTGATTTATGTATAATATTATTTTAATAAAGAATGTGTGGTTGAAAATGAATACTGTAGAAAAAATAATGAAAAAAAATAAGAGAAAATGGATGACAAACAGCGGCTAAGCAACAAATTCAACATGCATTCTCTTGTTATTTAATTATTGATATTCGTAACGTAGGAAAAATTATTTTTACGATGTTAAGGCTGTCAATTTCGAAAACAAGTTTCAATAGAAAAAAGGCAGTGACATGTTAGAAGTTCATGTAGACTCAATTATGTACTATTAGCATGGACAAATTCCAGAATTTAAGACGTATGGGACTGAAATTTATTAAGTTGACAAATTAACGACAATTCAAAAATAATTTATTAAGCATGAGATGAGGACTTAATGAAGGAAATGTGTAGATTATGGAGTTTCTTCTTCCAACGCAGCAAATTGGAACTTCTTCACTGAAACTACAATTTTTATTTTATTTTTTATTTTCTTTGTTTGAACAATAAACAAAAAATAAGAGATAAATAAACAATCAGATGCACTTCATGAAAATTGAAAAGCAAAAAATAAGCAATAATATTTTGCTCATACAACTCTTCTACAGTAGCAATAGAGGATTAGGGAAATTAGGGTTGCAGACAGGGAGGGAGTCAGAAAATGATATTAGGATGGGCTCAAATTTAAATTTTTTGAATGAACTGACGCCACAAGAATCGAGTTTCGGTGTCTATTTTCATAACATTTACAATAAAAAGTATACAACACTCAATGGAAAAAAAAAAAAAAAAAAAAATTTA